GGCCTGCCTCCTGACTGCCTGAAGGGCGAGCCAGGCCGAGGAGGCTGCTCTTGCCAATGCCGAAGTGTGCCAGGGGCTGGCGCTGCAGCAGCTGCTTGAGGCTGGCGTGGGAACAGGCTAAGAATAGCCTGTTCCCGAAACCCTGGTTCGGTGCCTGAGTTTCAGGGCCGGTCGTTCTGATGAACAACCGAAAATGGCCCTTCATTTCAGGCTAAAAAGGCTGTTGCCAATTTTAGTCTGAAATGACACAGGGACTGAAGGCCCTGGAATTCAGGCTTTCGGGCTGACCAACACGGGGCATGAAAGCCCTGGATTTCAGGCTTTCGGCCTGAAGGACGCAGGGCCTGGAAAATGGCCCGCGTGTGCAGGGGCAGCATGTAACGTGCAGCCTGCAGGGTGGGCCAGTTCTATATAGTGCTGGCCCGTCCGGGAGGCTGCTCTTGCCAATGCCGAAACGTGCCAGACCCTGGCGTTGAAGTTCAAACAAAGGGCGTCTTGAAACAGGCCCAAAAATGGCCTGTGCTAAACCTTGATCTGGCACCGGAGTTTCAGGGCAGGTCGACTTTATGAGGGCCTGATAATGGCCGTCGTTTTTAGGCTTTTAGGCTGAAACGACACAGGGCCTGTAGGGCCCTTTTTTTTTGTCTGGTTGGGCCTTGCAGGCCCGTGTTGCTGCGCAGTATGCCACACCCCCGCCTCCTTGAAAGACCGAGCTTACCTGCAAGGGTGAAGCTGCCTGTCTGAGTCCGGGTGGGAGGGGCGGGTCTTGAGCTAACGTTTGTCGTTCGTAGTGAGCGTAGATCAGTGGTGCGGATGCTTTCAAATCTGCTCCTGAAATCCATCGAGTGTCGTCGGGATCACATGCTTTGAAGGTAACTTTGTACTGTTGAGGCTTGCTGCCATACTTGCGATCCGTGATGACCCGGTCGACTTCCTGATGACCATCCATAGACGGAGGGTCTTGTGATCGCCGGTCCGGGAAGTCATCGTCCTTTGCTGGCGTGCATGTCGCCAGCTTCGAGGCGTGAAAGACTGGATGGACCAGTAGATGTGGACGGATGTAGATCACAAAGGACGGGCCGTCGGGCTTGTCGCCCGCAGCTGAACGGACGGTCCATGGTCCAAACCACTTGGGGAGTAGCTTGCGAGAAACATCCTGTTCGAGCGCAAACTCTTCCGCGGAGACCCAAACTCAGTCGCCGGCACAGATAGGACATGGTACGCAGCGCCGATTGGCTTCCTGCTGCATGCGGACTTGAGCCTTTTGCATGTTTGCACGGGCTTGAGCCAGCAGGTCCCTGTACTTCTGGACGGAAGCAGGATAGCAAGCAGCGTCTATGTCAGCTGTTCGTGGAAGGAGAAGATCAGCGAAGATACGGCCTTTCCAGCCACCGTGGTGCAACTCGAATTGAGTCATGCCGATCGCCGGATGCAACGAAATGTCGTAGGCGAACTTGATGTCGGGGAGGCGGTCAACCCAATCCTTCTGATCTGGACGGATGAGCGTACGAAACATCATTTGAGCGGTTTGATGTGCCCGCTCCGTTTGCACGTTCGTTTGTAGATGCTGAGCCGAACTTGGTTTCATCTTGGTGCTGGATTCCTGCATGAGAGGAGTCCGGAATGCCGACATGAAACGAGTGTCGAGGTCGCTGACGATGTCTTCCGGTACGCCGTGGCTGCAAATCCAGCCGGTGTGCAAGAGGCGCGTACGTTCGGGAGCCTTGGCGTAGTACTTGCAAGGGAGAAATCACGCGTATTTACTCAATCGGTCAACAGGGTCGACATCTTCATGTACTTCGGTTCTTGTTGCTGACATCAACAGGATGCATTTTCAAGTTGTGGGCTGAGTTGTAGCTGTGTAATCGTAGTCTGAGCGAAGCGCGCCAAGTTGGAGGAAGGGCTTTGGATACATACGTTGGTGGTGGCAGGAGTATGCTCTAATTGACATTTGGATCAGTGCATATCTGCTCTCTGGACAATGTTAGACTGTTTGGCTTTCAATGTGATTTTCCATTCCGGATATTTGTCATTTCGCTATCGCTCATTTTCCTTGCAATTTGGTATCAGAGCTGGTTTGAGCCGTTCCGCTGGCTCCTTCGCAATAGCTGTTTGGTGCTTCGCTGGATATGGTGGGGCAGTAGAAAGGCTTGTGTGTTGGTGTGTTGGCGGCCCAATGTCATGTGGGCTCGCCAGGAAGGCTATGTAGTGACATAGGGGTGCACGCTGGACGATGAGATCTCGCTGATGTGGCAATTTAAGCCGAGGTGGAAAGGCATTGTATTGTGGGTAGTGTCGAGGCATCGACCGGTCATCATAATGCACGTCAAGTTACTGGTGAGAAATCTGTGGTTGGGGACAGCATTATGAGGTACATTGCTCCTTACCTTATCTACCCTCTCCGTTGCTTCTTACAGTGAGGAAGTGAGTTCTGTCTTGAGAGTCCTCTCATTGTGAGGTGTCGCGAGTGCTCAACCTTGAGAGTCGACATTCTTCTTGGGGAGCAAGCTGGTGGGAGACGGGCATTGCTGCCTCTGAAGGGCCCTGGACAAAGCACTCGGGTCAAGGTCACCATGCCAACGGGGTGGGACTAGTACACGCATGCTTTGCCGCTTGTCCTTTGGTCTGCTTGCTGCGCTGTAGAGGTCATGTCAGGCAGGCCAGCCCTATCAGGGAGAGACGAGTATCGGACCGTCTATAAAAAGACTATGGTGGGGATACATGACTCGTGCTGTACGCAGTCGGGGCTGGCCTGTTCTTCACTGACTTGGGGCACAGGCGTGGGCCGATTGCACACCTTCGGACACGCCGCTGAACCAGAGCTTCAGGACGTCGACACAAAGTGACCACTCAAGAGGGATATAAGGGAAGGGAAGATTCCAGTAACTGTTTGATTGTTAAGTATTGTATAAAATCCATTCTGCTTGCACACCAGCAAATGATGTTTGTTGTGACGGACTTTGCTAACAACTAACAACAGACTGCTGCAGATAGGGTAATTATTCTTGGCTGCATTGCACTCTGTTTCAGAATAATCAAAAGTAGGAATAAAATTGTTGGTAGGAATCTGAGATTATCTGCTGTTACCGCTGCAGATAGGGTAAGTATTCTTGGCTGCATTGCACTCTGTTTCAGAAATTTCAAAAGTAGGAATAAAATTGTTTGTAGGAATCTGAGATTATCTGCTGTTACCGCTTGACTACCTTGAGGTGGACCAAATAATTTTTGTTATTATTATTTATTTTACAAATCGGTTGGGTGCCATGTTGCGGTAGGTTCCAGCGAGGACACTAGTGCAGATCGCAGACAATGCATAGCTCATGAGTGGAGAGGACAGTGAGGTTGAAGGACTAAACCAGGGAGATATGAGACTTGCCAGTAGACTTGCACGCCACTGGCCGACCACTTTCTTGGTGTTGGAATCAGGAGAGGAAAGGAAACTGCGGAGAGAAGCTAGAGAGAGGGGCACATTGCAGAGGGTCAAGGCAGCAGCAGCCAACGCTGAGAGGGCACTAGCAGCAGCCGCAGCAGCAGAAGCTAGAGCCGCAGTAGAGGCAGCCATCACTACCGCCTCTGCTATGTCACAGGCCTCTTCCCAGGCCACTTCGTCAGTTACTAGCTCAGGTACGTCAGGTACTTCCACTAGTCAGGCTGCTGGCTTGCAGGTCATCCAGCAGCAACCCACGTCAGATGAGGATTATGAGATCCAGCAAACGATTGCTCTCCACGCAGAGTTACGGCGCCAGTTGCAGGAAGTAGAGGAAAGGAGAAAGAAAGCTAGAACTAGAAAAACCCGGCTAGAGGCAAGGGCAGAGGCGCTAGGCAAATTAGAAGCTATAGATGAGTTGACTCTCGATCTTGTGGTCCTGTCCCTTCGGAACTCCTTGTTGAGCGTAGCCGAAGTGCAGGCCGTACAACAGGAAATGTCGGTTGCACTTATAGCTGGTCAGAACCAGATTCTGACCGTATTGCGGGCGCCCCGACCTCCGGTGAGGCCACCCCAGAAGTTTTCCTACGGTTGCAGGTCCTTTGATGGCGCTGCTCCGACAGGGAAGCCCTTTGACCCACAGTTTGGCAAGTCCCTATCAGGCGTATTACTAGCAGGTAGTAGTGTGCAGATTCCTGTACAGCCTTTTTCATTTCCCCAATTAGTGGCTGTTGCTACAGGGCAGCCACACGTGTAGCAGCCTTTGCAACAAGGTCCGCTGCAACAGCTGGTACCGCAGCAGCAAGCGTCGCTGCAGCAACAAGTGCCGCCGCAGCAGCCTGTTGCATCGCTCAACCGATGCAGCAGGCACAGGGTGCTGTGCGGCCCATGCAGTGGACACCCCAGGCACCCTTGTTTAGTCCTAAACCGTTCTCTGGCGACAGGAAGGACAAGGTCCTGGATACGAGGGTGAGGACTTTGCCTACAGCAGCAGGTACCGCAGCGGCAGCAAGTGCCGCTGCAGCAACAAGCTTCGCCGCATCAGCCTGTTCCATTGGTTCTCAACCGAGGCAGCAGGCACAGGGTGCTGTACAGCCCATGCAGTGGACACCCAAGATACCCTTGTTGAGTTCTAAACCCTTCTCTGGCGACAAGAAGAAGGATGAGGACATGGATATCTGGGTGAAGACTGTGCCTATGTATGTAAGGCACAAGCTAACTAGGACAACGTAGGAAGTTGTTGCTGCATCCTTTCTAGAAGGATCTGCAGCTGGATGGTTGAATGGGTTAGTACAGCAGTAAGGCTACGGTCAGAACTTCGATGGTTGGGCACAAGCCAGAACATTGGAGGAGTTTGTACAGCTGGTCTATCACAGGTGGCATGACCCCCGAGGGGCTCGGCCGTTGACTCGCTTGCAAGTTTGGGATTGAAGAGATACCGGACAGTTTGCGAGGAAACAAAAGAGTGACTGATTGTTGTCCCGAGTGTGCAGTATGAACCGCGGGTTCTCTTGACGACTTATTTGAGATGTCTTCCTGCCGATGTCAAGAGTAAGTTGGTCGACGAGGCCTCCATTGACATGCATGACTTAGCTTCTTTCAACAAGAAGGGCTTAGTCATCGAGGCGAGGCTTGGGAGTGCCCAGCAAGGATGGGAGGAAGAAGTTCCCTCAGGATTGGAGGAAAAAGGGCAATCTTATGTTTGTTGACCACGACGACCAAGCAACTGAGATTGACGACTTCTTCGACCTTGGGGAAGAAACAGAGATAGATGGGACTGGGGAGATTTCAGATGGTGGAGTAGCGGCACCCATTAGAGAAAAGGCTAAGAGGGTCGGGAAATAGAAGGTACGCCGTTCAAGGGTCTAGAGTACGAGGTTTGGTGTGACCATGTTGCACGAGGCGCGTGCCTCAATTGTGGCCAGTGTGGGCACACAGTAAGGAACTACAAAGGTAGCATCCACTATAGTGGTTGCTGGATCTTCCAACTCCGGTGGTGCTTCTGCGAGCACTTCCCAGGGAAACACCTTCGGCCAGTAGGAGTGTTAGCCGCTCTTACTCGTGCTGAAGTGGTTAACTTACCTTCTCAAGGTCAGACGTTGGCCAAGGCTATTGACCCCTTGATCGCCCCGCAAACACATCTGGACCAATCGATGCTCTGTTCGATGGATGTGTCCAAGTCCTTAGAGGAGTTAGAAAGTGAGTGGTTAGAGGAGGATCCTAGAGACTCATGGGCAATGTTGAACAAAGGTCCAAAAGGTAAACATTTCGTGGTAGAAGTCAATGTAGGTGGCCGGAAGGTTGATGCATTCGTAGACATAGGTTTTACAAGGAATTTCATCGGTCGTGCTTGTGTGGATAGGTTGCGTTTAGGGGACCAAGTGAAACGGCTTACCAGATGTGTAGCATCTACATTAGCCAACAAATACTCTATGATATTGAAGGACTATGTCAGAGATGTAGTTTGTACCTTCTCCTATGGAGGGGGGGAACTAAGACATAAGATCTCGTTCATATCCACCATTAGTGCGCCTTCTCCTATGGAGGAGGGGAACTAAGACATAAGATCTCGTTCATATCCGCCATTAGTGCGCAATGTGGGATGGTTGGGTTTACCGAGTGTTTTGATGACAATTCTATTGCTGATCAATAATCCTTTAATCACTACTAATTTGTTTTATAATAATCTAATCATATTTGACCTATTTTTGTAAAATCTTTCTATTGTTTGGTACTGCCAGCACCATTTTGATGTGTTTCGATTATTTCTAACAAGAAACTTTGAATGTCATTCGACATGTTGTTGGGCATGTCCTACCTCAAGGTTGTTAAGCCTCAGTTCGATTGGGATAGGAAGGCGATGATCCACAAGTTGCCAGATGGAAGGATTGTTTAACTGCAAAAGTTCAAGGCTAGAAGACTAGTGGAGAACTATGGTTGTGTGTGCGAGTCATCTTTCTATAACTATTCCAAGTAGAATCGCAAGGAAGGTATGTCACCCCCAGCGATAGAAGTAGTCGTTCCACAATATTCAAACCTCTTTGAGGAGCCTAGGGGTGTGGTAGAAAGGAAGATTGTCCGTGCGATTGAAGTCGTCCCGGATAGCAAGGTACCTAGAGGGCGGTGTCAGCGTGAATACCCTTACAAGGGTATCTGGCTTGATCTTTGCAAGTGAAAGCTGGGAGCGCCTCGTGAGCAGCGACCGAGTTTCTTTCTGTGACTGAGAGTGTGAGACAGTTTGAAGGGGAGTAGGAAGTGTGTGGGCGCGTAGTTTTGAGGCGTGCACGATCTTTTCTTGTTAATATTATAAAACCGGCACAACTACCGATCATCTTTTGCTTTTTGATTTAATTAGGGTTGAATGATCTTTTTCTTTCGAGCGACACGGTGGTTTGTAATGCGGAGGCAACACTCCTATGATCGGTGTTAGATTTGATCGACAGGGCCGCAAGCTTTAAAGAGGTGTTTACTTCCACTTTATTCGGAGGGATTTTGGAGCCGGTGTAGCGCGCAAAGTTGTGCATGATCTTTTCTTGTTCATATTATAGAACCGACACAACTACCGGTCATCTTTTGATTTTTGATTTAATTAGGGCTGAATGATCTTTTTCTTTCAAGCGACACAGTGGTTTGTAACGCGGAGGCGACACTCCTATGATCGGTGTTAGGTTTGATCGACAGTGCCACAAGCTTTAAAGAGGCGTTTACTTTCACTTTATTCGGAGGGATTTTGAAACCCGTGTAGCGCGCAGAGCAACTGGGCTTTTCTGGTGTCAATCCACCAGTAGAAATCCCTCGCAGCCTCGACAAAGGCAAGCGAAAAACGGAGTATGTACGTTAGGCTATGAGTGTGACTAGGAGCTTTGGGCAGCATTTGTCGGCGGTAGGCGACCGTGTGTTTGGTCGGCAAGCAAGGACGAGGCCTTTGGTATGGGTTGGTAGGACTGTGAGCCGCACAACACCTGCTTATATGGGACTGCGAGGCTGCTAATATCAGGCTTGGGCCTAGAGCTATTGGTTATGGCATTGGACTTTCAACATGGAGGTACGGGGATCGAGGCCAATGATCGACGACGATGGAGCGTGGGAGCATCCTGAAGGAATTGAGAGGTAGAGGGTCCCGTGGGACCCTCCTTTTTGGTTTTGCCGATGGCCCCGATCGGGGGCCCGATCTATTGGACCAAGGGGGTGCCAGTGTTCCCCTCTCTCCCCATACCCGTTTTCTATTTATTTTTACCTTAATTCTTTTTTTTTTCCCCTTATTATTAATAATTTCATATTTTTACTGCCATGTTTGAATCAGAGTTGGCCCCAGTGCTGGTACCGGAACCGATTCCGGGACCAGCTGGCCTAACTCAGTTGGCACGCCCCCATACAGATCACGATTCGAATTTAGTTTTAGAATCTATATATCTCGGATTGTTCACCGGATGATCTTGTATAGAGTTCCATGATCTACTACTCTAGGGCCATCAGCGTCCAGGGATCCTTCAATCTACCATTGCGCACCATGAAAGGTACCCATTATAACATTAAGGGCCATGTGAGCACAACGTCCTGGTCTAAAGCCATTTGAATAAGTGGAAAAGTGGGGTTAATAAATAGGTTTTCTCTAGCGGCAAATGAGTAGAATGCCACATTGTTGAATCACCAACGGGCCACTCTGTTGGTACTCTTATGAGTTGTTGAGGTATGGACCTGAGTTTGAACTCTAATGGAAGCAAGCAAGTAACATACTGCGTTTTTGAATTATCAAAGGCCAATAAGCCAGTACGGTCAAAGGCTACCGAGCTTGGACCCGTGACGTGTAACGTTGGCGAGGGTTGGGTGGCCTCAGGACTGTGCATGGAGTCGCAAGTCTTGAAACCGCGACCTGTGCAATCCAATTGAGTGAGGAGGAGCTGTGACATTTGAACAAGTCAAAGGTTGTGGTGCTCTCGCCATGTCGAAGACCTTGGCCCTTTTACAAGTCAAAGGTCGGGGCGACGAAGAGGACCGAGGCTGCGCCCGTGGCCTTGGAACTGTTGTACTACAGACCCGAGCTCGAGTCCCGTTGGAAGCTAATGAGTAGAACACTATCCCATTGCATTACCAACGGGCTTAGCTCGGTTGGTACATCCATGAACTGTTGAACTACAGACCCGAGCTCAAGTCCGCATGTAATATGACCATCAATTGGCTGCAATCAGACTGTTTGAAGGCGATATCCTACAGCATTGTTCTAATGCTAATGTCATCAGCCCCCAGGAGGCAAGTGGCTGACATAAGAGATGAGGTAAGCCACCTCAACCATTTTTCCCTTATTTATTTCTCTCTCCTTCGACCCTCAAATAGGGGTAAGTTCAACGAGGAATTGAATTGTTTCCGTTTGCTTGTCGGTAACCACCTTTTTTGGGAGGGTCAAAAGTCAAGGCAAGCGGTCGGAGGAGCAACACTTATGCCAGTTACGACGCAAGCTATAAGGGTGCCCGTTGGAACTCCTCTTCCAGAAAGTTGGGCGGGATGGCGAAGCCTTGCGCGACTGAAGAAAGAAGCTCGAGCTTGGTTGATATCGGGGATGAGCGCAGATGTAGGCGGACGGTATAGGTGATCGACGGCGTGTGATGTCGTGCAATCGAAGGGAGTGAAGGGGAGGGATAGAGAAGAAAGTAGAAAGGATAAGGGACTAAGAAGAAGAGGGAGATGTAATGACGCGCCAAAACACAGACTGAGAACACTGCTGATTTCGGGGATTTGCCGCTGGAAAGTATGCCTTGCTGAGATTCTCGCATTCTACTGTGATTTCTAAGTCTGTATGTGTGTGTGTGCCTGTTGGGCTGAGTGCCGGTCCGAGTGGTTGTCGGCATGAGTGTGTGTGTGATTCGCAAGGGTACTTGTTTGTTGGTAGGTCCCGCATGGCCGGTACTTACCCGTGGCCGTGACTTTGAGGGTTGCAGCGGGGAAGAACACTCAAGTAGCGGGGGTAGGCTTGCGACACTTAGAGCTGCGGGAAAAACACTCGAGTAGCAGGTAGGCCAGTACCACTCAAGTACTGGTAATAGTGTCGGGCACTTGAGGCCGAGCAGAAGAAGACAAAACGTTGGCATTTTTAAAGGCCCAGTAGCGGTAGGCTAGACGCAGGCCGGTACCAGTCCAAGTAGCATGAGTCTAGGGCCTGTATGGACGATATCAGAGCCTGCAATGATGTTTCCCTTCGAAAAGGAGGCACCGGTTGCTGGTTGGCCGCACGGTCTAGGAAGTCACCACCCAAGAGGCAAGTTGGCGCTATATCTTCGGAGAAGCAAGTAGCTCCTCCTCATTTGCGGTGTGCAAGGGTTGGCGACATAATGTGGGAGCCAGGCGCTGGACTTGGAGCGCTGCTTGGAGGAGGAGAGCAGTTGGGCACACAGCTTGGCTATGGCGAGCAGTCCTACGTGAGATTGGCGAGGTAACTATCTTCATCACCTTGATATGCGCTACATCCGGAAGGCCCCAGTTGGGGTAGTGCCGCACCAAGGAAGCTCGAGGCAGAGTCAGGCATGGCGGCCTGATGAGCAGCAGCATTGTGTTGTCCTTTGGACAGGAGGGCAGGGCCCTTAGTAGTCCGCTATAGCCTTGGCATGTGAGAGGAGGAAGAAGGGGGGAAGCCATGGCTATGGTGGACCTGTTGTTGTGTTGGCAGGAAAACGAAACTTTGGATATTGATTCAGGTTCATCCACTCATTGTTATTACTATTAATAGAAGAAGAAGAATTTTGGCGAAGTCAAGGAGGCGGAGGAGGGTGGAAAGAGGAGGATTTGTCATTGGTTTTATAGGTGTACATCTTCTTCTTCTTCTTTCTCTCTTCTTTGGTCTTTATCTCTTTGCAAGTGCTTTCATTTCTTTCACAATTGGGTGGCATTGTCTTTCCTTGTGAATTTGCATTTTGGAAATGACCAGGATCGTAACTGAGAGTAGAGATTGTGGAGGTACGAGGAGAGTGAGGTAAGGGTTAGAAGAAGGTGAGGAAAGGAGAGGACGCCGACGGTGTATCTTCCCATGAGCTAGTGGAAGATTCATTCTCATTTTGCACATTCGACGAGTAAGGGAGTGATGCCCTTGGCCACCTTTATTCGTTCTCTGTCGTTGCCGTTCTCCTCGATGGTCAGGGTCACTCCACATCAACAACGTAAGACTAGTTGAACCGCTTAGTAGCTAGTTCCCTTCGAAGCTGCCCGTTTGTGGTCATTGTCCTCTTCCACCCTCGCTATTGCTGTCAGTCTCCCCCGATCATGATTTGTGCGTCCCCTCCCTTCTTAGTCATTCTCCGTCTATGGATCGTGATTGCCTATGCCTTTCTATGTTCGGTTGATCATCTATGACCGTTCTTTTTGCCTTACTCTATTTTTCTTCCTTGTCGGTTAAATCTTTCGAGTTAGGCCATGATTACTGGCCAAATGCATTTTTGTTCGTAGTCGGGAATGGGGCCAGTTGCATGTGGGATGACGTGCAGTGCAGCCCTTAGGAAAGAGGGTAAGCAATGTAGGGAGGAGCGAGCGGGAAGTGACAGGGAGGGGACAAAGGGCTGAAAATGAACGAGGAGGAAAGTTGGCGAAGGGGACAGAGGATGCGTTGAAGAAAGGAAAGAGAGTATAACGAGGAAGGTGGGAGAAGGCGAAGAGGTTGTGCCTACTTGTTGGGACGTTTGTAGTCGTTTTTTGTTTTCTGTTGTTCGGTTAATCTGGCCGCGATTGCGGCCTGCAGCAAGAATCCTCTTTCACGCCCTGTGACTGTAATCTTATCCCTCGTTGGTAGTATGTGGGAGGTGCTACATGCACATTCGGTATACACGCACACGGAGGGAGGGGAGAAGAAGAGAAAGGTACAACATATGTCGAGCTGTCCGGCGGAATTGGCAAGCCGAGATGAACCGATAATCAAATTACGGGACCGAGCTGTGAGCAGGCAACATCATAGCAGGCGGTGCATCCTTCCATGTTCTAGTGAGAGATTCATTAAAGGGTGGCCAGATGCAGTCGCGAGAAGGTGCTAAGGGAGGAGGAGAACACAAGAGGTAACAACCGAATGAGAAGGGAGGAGCGAACTCGGTAGTGAAGGAGGATGGGACGTGAGGTAAACCCAGGGCTGAAAAGTGGGGGTCCCTGTTAACCGCTTGTGGTATCTGGTGTTCTTCTAGACGAAGATTCATCCACACTTGGTGCCTTTGGTAAACGCACTAAGAAAAGAAGCAAAGGGCCACGTGCGCTATTGCAGTCTGGGTGATCGATTGGATCAAAAAGTTGTAGGGTCGTGGTGATTGTTGAAGCCCACTGTGAACGTCATGTTCGCCATCATAGAGCTTGCCCGTGGATTTATCATCATAGTGTTCATGGTTGTCGTCCCAATCTCTGTTCGGCTTCTCCGCGGTAGCCGCATTCACGGGGGTCGTATCCTCCCTTATTCTAATGAAGGATTCATTCTCGGTTGCTGTCAAGAGCTACTGTTGTCTTCAAAATTCGTTGTTGCCATTGCCCGAGTACCGATGCTAGCGGCGCTGCTGCAGTGGGTAAAATACGCTACCAATTAAGGAGTCGTTGCCTTGCACTTCAGTGCTGCTGAACCTGGCTATTATGCACTACTGCTAAGCACCACTGTGTGTCGCTGTTCCACCGTGGCTGGCTACTGGGCACAATTGTCGAACGTGCAGTTTTAGTGAGTTGCTGCATTTTGACTGCATTTTTGGTGAGGAGTGGTGTCACAACTTGAGGGTGTGGTCAAAACTCTTCAAGGGGGTCACTGCAGCGATTTAGAAGGTCCCTAGAGGGTCAACATTTTGTGCATTGGCTTCGATTTGGTTACTGTGATTTTTGGTGACCATTGTGGGGCCCTTAGGCGCGTCAAGGCAACAAGGCCCTTTCATATGAGTTTAGTTTGTCCCTCTCGTGTATCTCGAGAGCCTGAATCCCTTCCTTCCGCAATTCTTACTAAGTCTAATCTGTGGTTCGCAGAGGAAGGCGGCAGGTGGGATTGCAACCCACAAGACCGCAGCAGGACCTTGTGGGAGGTCCAACCACCGATTGCGGGAGCTATGCCGGAGCTCAGGAGGAGTTCTGGAGGCAGGGAAACGTCAAGTATACCATCTTTCTTCCTTGAAAGATCCCATCAATCCTCTATCGGTACATCTCTCTAGTTTGATTAAAATGTATGCATGTAACCTTATGATTTACCATTTCTTTTTGGAACTTAATCAAATTAAGTATAAGAAAAAGTTGTGAGAATCTTTGCATTATTGCTTGAAATTCAGACTAAGAGGGATGAATTGCAGGAACGTGGGAGGAAGGTGGTTTTGCTTGTGTTGATTGGGTCTTTCCTGTTTATTCTTGTTTCCTGTGCAGCTTGACAATGTGGCTTTGGTCAAGTCTAATTCCCATACCTCTGTAAGTTGTTATTCGCACTGCTAGGCAACGTGGCTTCAGTCAGGCGTGTGTGTTGTCTTGTCTTGTCCTTCGGACAGTCAGACAACGTGGCTTCGATCAGGTTTGATTTCCATACCTCTGTAAGTTGTTATCCGCGCAGCTAGACAATGTGGCTTCGGTCAGGTCTGGTTGTTGTCCTTGTGGTGATCTGCGTGTTAAAAAGTGTTTAGATTCGACTACTTGTTTTTCCTCGGTGACTAAGCAATGTGGCTTCGGTTTGGCTTAGTTTGAAGTCGCACACATAACAAGGAATTTGAGAAGATGATTTTTTCGATGTATATATATGTATTGTACTGTTTGAACAAGCTAGTCAGACAATGTGGCTTCGGTTTGGTCTAACTATAGCTTATCACGAAAGGAGAAGAGCATACTTAATTAAGAATATAAAGAATGTAACTTAACGGCGGCAATGTGGCTTCGGTTTGGTTGTTTTATGCTTGAAAAGATTAAAGGTTCAGAGAATTATTATAACTTGGGCATCAAACACGTGGCAGGACTAGGCAATGTGGCTTTGGTTTGGTCTAAGTCAACTGCCTAATGACGAGAGTGGACATGGCAAAAGGTTAAGCAATGTGGCTTCAGTTTGGATTGACATTCTCATGCCATATGTAAGCTAGGGTACTGGGGTTTATCTAATTGAAAGACGATGAACTACTTAGGTGGAAATAACTTGAGGTTGTGGTGAGAGTACTCACTCATTGTGGTATGGACCTGCATGTGGTTGAGTGTGAGCTTTACTTATTTTAAGCTTTAGCTTTGATAGGTAGTTGCTTTAAATGCTCACCACGTGCTGGAGTTCTAGGAGCTAGTTCAATTTCTCCATTCTTTTAGCTAAGTTTATTTTTTATACTTAGATCAAATTTCAACATGTTTTTAGACAAGTTTATTTCTTGTTCTTGGCTTTGTATAAATGTTGGAGAGGCACTTTCGCTAAGTGAAGTGCTACCCGAATTTCTGCAAATCCAAGAAGTTAGTGAAATATTTGCCTTTTGCAAAGTTTAACTTCTATTTAAGTTCATATATGGCTTAGTATAAATCTGGGAAGCTTCCTCCTCTAAAGGAAATGCAGCCCAAATTTTTATTGACAAAATTTGGTTTTGTAAAGAGTTATTTTTAAATTTTGTATTTAGCCTTGTATAAATTTTGGGAAGGCAACTTTCCTACGTGACGTGTTGTCGAAATTTTTACAAATCTAAAGAGTAGTTAGACTGCTTCTCTTTGAGTTCATATTTGACTTAGTATAAAACTTTGAGTTCATATTTGACTTAGTATAAAACTGGGAAGCCTACTTCTCAAAAGGATATGGTGCTCAAATTTTTATTGATTCAGAGGAGTTAGAGAATTTTAGGGTTTTGAAAGTTTGACAATTTATCCGTACTAAGGGAGATACTTTCGAAATTCCTGGCATTTTTTTTTGGACAGATATTAGAGGTGAGGCAGGAAGATAGTAATATTTCATACCAAGTATAGCTTGGGAAGTGGCCTGTGCTGTGTTGCAGGTCATTTTTACTCAGATTGATTCGCGGCTCGACTAGTATCAAGCGGATCCTACGAGGATAATTTTTTGTTATCATTTGATAAGAGGTCGGTTTTCGACTCAACTCTAGCTTATTCTTGCTACTCAACCCAAGGCCTTAGCCCCTGTGGGTTGAATTGTTTTTCTCGGTTTTTACCTGAATTTTGTTAAATGGTCAGCCTTAGCCCCTGTGGGTTGAATTGTTTTTCCCGGTTTTTACTTGGGCTTTTGTTACATGGCCATTTAAAAAAGGGTCCGAGTGCTTTTATTTTGGAAGGTTGGACAAATGTTAGGGGTTTGTGTGGATAAGGCAAAAGGGTGTGAGTGTGTAGAGAGAGGTTGAAGTTGACCCCGTGTAGTGTGTGGTTTGTTGATGTTGAATCTTTGATGTAATTGCATGTATGTTTTGTGAGTGGAGATCCAGATCTGATTTTGCCTGCAATCATATGTATATTTTTGAAGTAAGCCACACAGTGATCGTAAGAGTGACCGTCTCGTATCTCATTAAACCTTTATATTTATGTTTCTTTGTGTTTGCATGGCCTATTGAGACTGTGTGTAATGTTGAGATAGTTTTGTATCGAGAGATTCCCTTACTTCTCAAGAATTATCATGGCTGGACGTTAAGATTCGTAGCGGCTGTCAAAGTCAAACCCCTTGAGCTGTTTTCAGGTCTCTGCCGATGAAACCACACTTTCAGTGTTAGGGGTGTTCATCAGCTACAAAGGGTCGAGGTCCGTCTACCACTCGACTACACAGGGTGCAGAAGAGGATAGGTCTTACAATCGCTTTCGCGATTGTCTAACGTCGAGAGATTAACCTTTCAAGACGCATGTCAGCCGACACTTGAGTGGCAAAAGCGACCCCTGAAATTCTTGAGGACTGTATGATTATGAGTACCACATAGTACATCATCATTGCGACTACTTGTGTATTCATGCATGGCTAGTCGATATGACAGAAGCCTACGTCGCCGCAATATTTATTCAGGGTCTTGCGCTCACCAATCTAATTTTGCTATTGGAAGTTTATGGGCCAAATGCCAAAAAAGGGACTAGGCGCGATTTCCGGTTGAAAGTTTGATCTTATTTTTGTGAGATGTATCGTGTTGTAGGATCACGTTGGGGAGATCAGTGCCTCGGGCAACGATTCGTGCACGGGTCCGATTCGTGTGTTAACCATGCGTGCCCCTATGCCCCCTATGCTACAGCGAACGAGAAACGCCCTCGGTTGGGCCGCCTTTACGATTGCATATGAAAAACCTTCGCATGTGGTTCGGTAGCTCGACGGGGATATGCCCATCTAAGGAATGGTAACAACTCCCACAAATGGAGGCGAGTTGCACCTTGCGTGGCCCTATCCAGTCGTAGGGGTTCGCAAGAGGTATGGCTTTGAGCGGGGAACGTTCTATGCGACAAGTCCACAAGCGGTTATCGGGTAGCTGAAAATTGAGGAATGAAAATTTTGAAGTGAGAGTTTTGGGCAGTCTAAAAATCCTGAATGGTCTTGAAGTGGTGAAAGGTCCGAAGACCGTGAAAACCACATGTTTGCGCAGGCTGCATCCTGAAGTGGTAAAGGGTGTTTTGAAGTGGTCAAGTGAGCATTTTGGGCAGTCTGAAAATCTTGAATGGTCCTGAAGTGGTGAAAAGTCTGAAGACCATGAAAACTACCCTTCACCACTTGAGGATGCAGCTTGCCTAAACAGGTGGTTTTCAGGGTCTTCGGAGCTTTCACCACTTCAGGACCATTCAGGATTTTCAAACCTGAATGATCATGAAGTGGTGAAAGGTCCAAAGACCCTGAAAACCACCTGTTTAGGCAGACTGCATCCTAAAGTGGTGAAGGGTGTTCTGAAGTGGTGATGAAAAATACGACTGTTGTTAACCTTCTCTCGACAAGTCATGCAAAATCATGCGTGACGCGGGGCCGTGAAGGTTCCTTTTGAGGGACCGATGCGCTCGACAACGGATCTACAGGATGTGTCCTGCGTCACAGAGAAGAGTTGGACTTGGCCAAGTATGTCCCCCTACGGAGCTCCAGTTTTATTTGTCCCAAAGAAATGGGGGACACTAAGGATGTGCA